CCCCGGGGAGAGGGCAGAAGCCGCTAGGTCAGCAGCTGGGAACAACTTGCATGCAGCGGGCTGGAGCTGGGTGGGGCCGGGCGGACCTCAAGTCTCAGGGGGCGTGGAGCCCAGGCGGAAGGGGCGGGCCGGGCTGGAGAAGGGCTGGGCCGAGGTGCCGCGGGGCTGCTGGAGGGTCGTGGGCGGCACGTAGGAGACATGTCTGGGGGTAGCAGCTGCAGCCAGACTCCCAGCCGGGCCATCCCCACTCGCCGGGTAGCCCTCGGCGACGGCGTGCAGCTCCCGCCCGGGGACTATAGCACCACCCCGGGCGGCACACTCTTCAGCACCACCCCAGGAGGTAGGCGCGGGCCGGGGTTGGGGCGACCTCCAGGGCAGGAGGGCACCCCGGGATCCGGAGTCGCACGTGCGACGGGGGTGGCGGCGCTCAAGGGTTCCATAGCTGGACAGAACGGATAGGGGCGTCAGGAAGGCTGGAGGGTAACCGTCTCGGTTGCCCGCCTGCTGGGTGTGGTGGAGCGTGGTCTGGGGGCCCGTCTGCAAACTGCGCGCTTTTTCCTGGGAGAGACCGCGGAGTGCCCCAAGCACACAGATAGGCACTCTGCCATGATTACCATGTGCTCAAGTGAGGCCTCTCTGGGTGTCACGACAGTTCTAGGGTGGGTCAGGATGGGGGTCTGGGTGGAGCAGGGGAAGGGCCAGGCCTGGAGATTAAGTTTAGTTGATCTCTCTTGGAATAAAGGACGCCTGCACACTTTTTAACCTTCCCCGGGCAACCCTCGTTTTGCGTTGGGACACTCGCTTATTGATGAAGGCTGGGCGTTGAGGGTGCTCTCTGCCCCAGGAGCACGTCTCGGCCACCTGTGGCATGAAGCCGATTTAGAGAGTGAGATCTCCAGACAGGGGCCTGGCGCTGCGTCCATGGCTGTGCAGAACAACACGTTCCTCGGGTCTGGGGGGAGGGCACAACGCTGAATTCGCCCAAGTGGCGGAGGATGAGGAAGAGGAAGCTGAGTTGGCGCGGGAGGGGGCCGGGCTCCAGGAACTAGGCATTCCCAGCTTGCCCCGGAGCCCCAGTATAGGCGCTGATGAAACCTACACGCCCGTTTGCATGATGAAATGCTCGTGGCTCACTACTTCCCTCCCATTCTCGAGCTGCTCCCACCCATTTTGCGCTTCTCCCTTCCCTGATCTCCTCCCCCAAGCTTCTCCTCTTACAACTCAAAAACAGGAGAGTTCCTGGCGCTGCGCTGAACCTTGGGCTACTGCAGGCGCGTCCAGGCCACATGCCTTTTTTCTCAAGCAGCTGTTCCTATACCAGGGAACACAGCCAGACCCCAGAACCAAGGCGCCGTTGAAGGGATCTTGTAGATGAGTGTCCAGTTTGTGCCTCTTGGTCTTCAGAACAAACCCCCCCCCCCTTTTTGAGCGCGTGTCTGTTATGCATTGTCACGATGTGTTCCTAGCAAACAGGTAGAGCGGGGAAGGCATTCTCCCTTTCATTAGAAATGGCCCAGGGAAAACTCTGCAGGCTTCTGGTCTCCCTTTCCTGGAGTTCTCAGAACTTTCCTGGCCTCTTCTAGTTCACACTCTTGCACCCTTTCTTTGTCTTGTTACAGAACTTTGTGTTTAAGCACAAACTTGGCAGACAGTTGAGTCCTTACAGGTGAGGCGTGAATCTATTTTTTTTTTTTTTTTTTTTTTTTTTTTACAGGCACTGAGGCAGGCTTAAAGGCTCAGGGAAACCCTTTTTGCCCCCCCCCCCAATTTTTTTTTTTTTTCGGATGGACAGTACTGTTTGTATGAAGATCCACTTCACACTATGGACTGGGAAGTGTCAAAGTTGGCAAATCATGATGTCCCAAAGCCACTGGCCCTTTGTCAGGGTGTTTTTTTTTTTTTTTTTTTTTTTTTTTGTGGGGTACACAGCCCATAGCTTGAGGAGAGTCTATCTCATTTCTGCCAAAGCCAACAAGCCTGTTCTTTAGCTAAACAGTTGGATCTTCTTCAAGGGCTATTCCTTCCAGGGCTTCTCTGCCAAAGTGGAGAAGCTTGACCCATTTGCTTCAGAGTTTCTCATTACTTAGACCCCCAATTAAATACGGAGTTGGAGTACAAAGGTCTACAGAGTGAGTTCCAGGACAGCCAGGGTTGCATGAAGATCCACTTGCCTCTGCCTTCCTAGTTCTGGGACTAAAGGTGTGCACCACCACATCTGGCCATCCAGGCTTTCCTTACTGTTACATACCTTTTGGGCTGTTTCTAATGGCTCTGACCTGTACTTCCTTGGAAATCCATCTAACTTTTGAATTTTTCTACATATATCAAGGGCTGGCTGGGAGACAAAGGCCATGTTAATAGCCTTGAGATTTGCTATGTCCTCAGGATCTATAGGAGTATATAGCCAATAAGCTTGAAGCAGGACTGAGATATTGCCTAACCATTTTACAGGATTTCCAGGTGAAAGGGACAAGCGACATCCATACATGTGTTATTTGCCTTTTCAGGTCTTTGGGAGTCTGGCAAAGTAGATTCCATCCAGGCATGAAGTCAGGCTGGCATTTCCTGAACTTAGGCTTTTCTGTACATCTTGGCTTGTGATTGACCCTTAGGGGCTGTGAGCTTTTCATGAAGGAATATTGCCTTAAGTCCCTTCAGCTGAGATGGCTTTGAAGCAGTTGTCTTGGGGAGGCCATGAGGGAGGCCAGAATGCCAGGACACAGCAGGTGGCCTGAGCCTCCTCCATTCCTGTGGTCATTATCCCTTTGCTGGCCCACCCAGTTAGGTATTCTGAGAACCTAAGACGTTTCTGAGGGGAGTGTCCTATGTGGGTCTTTAAGATGGTCAGCAGTCCCATAAACAGAATCTTCTAGTAAAGGCCCAGGATGGATGTTTGACCTCTGACGAAGTTGTTGGGGTCCCCGTACCTATTAGTGCCTGGGTGAGGTTAATCAGGCGAGCAGTCAGGGTGGCAATGGTAATGACCTGCTGTTTTGTTAAGCAAGCAAATTGGTGCATGTGAATATAGTGGCACACACACCTTAAATCCAGCACTTGGGGGAGGGCAGAGGCAAGTGGGTCTCTGTGAGTTTGAAGCCAGCCTGGTCTGCAGAGTGAGTTCCAGGTCAACCAGACCCTATGTTAAAAAAAAATAAGTCTGTCTAGGAAGCTGACCTTGAAGTGGCTGCCAAGTGTTTAGCACTGGTAGTGCTGGGAAAGGGGGAGGCAACTTGGCGCTGAGGCTAGCTAGGGTTTTGTCCTGAGGTCTTAGTCACATAGAGGGGAGAAATTACTGTTGAGGATTGAAGACAGAATGAGAGAGCTTGGACTTGGAGGCAGTGAAGGATATTGAAGGATGGTTCCTCATCTGACACTCATCTGAGCTTCCTTTTAAAGTGTTCGGAGCATTATACATGAGGATCCAGAACATACTCTTGAATTTGGAGAGTACTCCAAACTCACTTTGAATCCTCTTGGTTTTAAGAGGCTCAAGAGGCATGCACTACACCCAGACTAGGAAGATAGTCTGACTTGGAGGGTTGGCATGGCTAACCCGGCAGAGGAAGATTTAGCTGGAGTAGAATCCAAACATGGGGCTGAAGTGATGGATGGCTCAGGGGTTAAAAAAGTGTTTGCTGCTCTTGGACTGCCCTTCAGCCCCTAGAGGGTGTTCCTGGACTTCTGAGGAGTGCCCTCTTCCTGCTTCCACAGGAGCCTTCTCCCCAAAAGCTTGGAGGATTGGAGGTGAACTCATTGACAGCGTGACTGCCAACTATGAGAGAGGCCTTAAGTTTTTTTTTTTTTTTTTTTGTTTGTTTGTTTGTTTTGATACAGGGTATCTCTGTAGCTTTAGAGCCTGTCCTGGAACTTGCTCTGTAGACCAGGCTGCCTTGAACTCACAGAGATCCGCTGCCTCTGCCACCCGAGTACTGGAGGCCTTAAGTTTTATATCTAACATCACAAAGGAGGTGGGGTAGGAGGGATGGAACTGGGGATGAATATCAAGTGTACAATGGAGTGGATATGTTGGGATTTAGGGGGAATAGGTGTTTGGCACAGACTTTCAGTTATGAGAGTGATAAATTCCAGGGATGTATTCATCAGTGGCTATAATTAACCCTGCAGTGTTTACTAGAAATTAGCTAAGAGCAACCTTAGCAGTATCCTTACACAAACACATACATCCGTGATATATGCTTATTTAATTGTGGGGTTTATTTCATGTTTCTTAGTGTGCTATCAGATCATTATTTTGTATACTCCCTCCCTCCCTCCCTCCCTGTCTGTCTGTCTGTCTGTCTTGCCCAGACAGGCAGATCTCTGTGAGTTTGAGACCAGCCTGGTCTACAAGAACTAGTTCCAGGATGGCTTCCAAAGCCACAGAGAAACCCTGCCTTGAAAAACCAGAAAGAAAAAAAAAAAAAAAAGAAAGAAAAGGAGAATTGCTTAGGGTGACAGTTTTTTGTTTTTTGTTTTTTCATATGATTCTCCATATGTTCAGGTAAACAAAAACATCTGTTACTGTCTGGTGTGATTCTTAAGGGCCAGCTGTCTTTCTCTGGTGAGCCATAGCCTGTTGACTTTCTTTCCCCCGGGTTAGACAGGATGTTCTTCCAGAGAAGTCCCGGTGTCCCCAGGATCTAATGCCAGGTCTGGTGTTCAGAAGGTGACAAGTTGTGCTTGGGTGTGGCTTAGTGGCACAGTGCTCTCCTGGCATGTGTGATGCCCTGGGCTTATCTTTAAACTAGAAGAAAGATGAAGGTGAAGGGGATGAGGCATTTCCTTTAGGATATCTGGCTTCTTTCCCCTCAGGCCTGGGTCTCCAGGGTGGAGATGGCGTACTGGGTACAGGCCAGCCTCAGACTGAGTAGCTTAAACAGCACTTTATTGCCCATGTCTGGCTGTTCTTTGCTGATTTCGGTAGAGTTGACTCATGTTGCAGCTCGATTGCCCTGGGCTTCCAGGGCCATGGTGGCCTTATCCACATGTACAGCTGGTGGGAGGCTGGGATTGGGGCTCAAATCCTTTAGTTTAGCTTGAACTTATAAACACATCGGATAATAGCAGGGCTACCTAGGGCATGGGCATGGAAGAATCACCTTGTCAAATCACCTAAAAAGTATTCTTTTGTTCTTAGGGACAGTCCAGCTTCAGTAGAGGGCAGGAGGAAGAGGGGATGGCCTTTTTTTTTTAATTTTGAGACATGTTCTCCTTGTAGCCCAGCCAGGATGGCCTCCAGTTTGAGGATGACCTTAAACTCCTGGTCATTCTACCACTACTTCTCAAGTGTGTGAACCACTGTTTTTTTTTTTTTTTCCCTGCTTCCTCTGAACATCAGGT